TTTGAAATGGTCCTAGTAATTAAAAACTATAGTATCACTGACTGGAAATGAAGTAAATGAAGGGACGAGAGTCTGTTTGAATAGCCCCACCCATACCTCACCCCTCAACTGTCTACCTTGTGTTTCGCTCTCTAAGTAACAAGCCTTCAAACTGTTATTGAGTGATATGAGTTAATTCTGACAGGTAATCATGTTTTACCTTTAATTTATCTTGTTTTTCTTTATTTGATATTAATAAAATCTTGTTCACCAAACTGTGGAGCATAATTCTTATCTTTTTTACTTAATTGTTTTAAATGTTGAGAAAGCAATGTAATAAGCAGTCAATGAATACTTACCACATAAAAGGGATGATGTGAGGGCTATGTGAACTAGCAGAATGTATAAATAAATGGTACTACAATTTAGCACAGAAAAGCAAGGATGCCAAAGTCAGAAAACCACCATTTAAATTTTAGCTACAATTCCTCGTAATAGCTGTGTGACCTTGGCAAGTTACTATATCCTCCTAAGTCACAGTTTTCTCTTCTGCAAATGGAGTTTAGTAATATTGACTGCCTTCTAGGATTGTCGTAACAAGAGCTTAATTCGCTGTTTGGCTTAGAGTAAGTGATCAACAAATATAGCTAGTTTATAATGGAAAATCCTCAAAGAAGATGAAGTGCGGAAGAATTGACATGAAGCCAAGAAAACAGCCCCAGGCAGATATTATAAAGTGGCCAAATGCACAAACTGTAAAACCGCAGCTGAAGGACAGGGCTTTTCTGGATAAGCAGTTTTCTTCTTCATATTCTTCACCAGCTATACCATTAAGCTAAGCTACTGTAATTCTACCTCACACCATGTACAAAGAGCAGAGTTTGATTCAGAATCAAGGCTCTTGCTGGTTCCTTTGAAATTTGGAGAAATATTCATATCTTGTCTTCAAGGAAGTAATTTTTATATGAAGCAGCTTGCTAAGTCGAATCATTTGAAAAGGCATTCTACCATATTAAGATTACTTCGTTTAATAAACACATGTATATCACGCTTCTTGGGTGGATTAGGAGAGGCTGTGAGAATTGGCCAGCTTCTGAAGAAATGTGCTTGGTATAGAAATTTGCCCTCTTCACTATACTCCCTTTCCTGTTTCAACCTCCATAACTAACAGTAGGCATAATAGAAATGCAGAGATAGACACTACTATTGTGTCTGTCATTTCATTCATTTCCAAAATATTGAAACTGTAAAAAACTACTCAAGTAAGAGTTAAAATCATATCAGTCACAACCATGCCAATCTACAATCCCTAATCAATTTACATTCTAATTGTTCATAATTGTGCTACATGAAGATAAATGTTTTCTTGACTGAATATTAACAAAATGCCCTCAAACTACAAATAGTATGCAACTGTTGTATTTTAGTAGAAAACCTATTCTATTTTCAGATTGATACAATGCAGACATTTTAAATCTTATAAACTCCTCGATCTTTGCCAAGTGCGTTGTTTTATTTGCTAGGAGGCATTTGTCCATTCCTAACCTTTTTACCTCCAGAAAATAGATGACACATGTGACTTGAAAATTGAATCGATCTTGACTGAAAAATAAATAATAAAAGTAGCTAATGTCTTTGTCATCTCTAGCAAGCCTACAGGGCAGATACTGTTGCTGCTTCAGTTTTGTAAGATGCATTATATCTTGCTAATCCTCAATAAATATGAAAAAGTGATCATTTCACAGCTAAGAATTGACAAACTGGAACATATTTCTCATTTGAATAGACAAGATAAGCAGTTCCCACCAGTGCTGCCATCTCTGCCTTCGGGTGTGTTGTGTCCCAGGCAGGCACTGTCGGTTCATTCGTAGGTCACTGCTGTTTTATTTCTATTTGTCTGTTTCTGGACCAGAACTCAGATTTTCATCCAGACAGCTGCCTGTCTTAAAGACCATTCTGCGATCTACCTTCTGTGACATAATTTAAAGAAATGAGTAATCCCAATTAAACCATTGCAGGTGTAAATTTCTTGCCTGGAGAGAGAATTGAGAAATAAATGGGATTCATGAATACAAATTGGGCTCTCCTTACACTCAAGTTTTCATTTTGAAATGGTAAAGTATTCACTCCCCACATAAATCTGCATTTGCCTTAAGTGTGTTTACCATGGGAACCCCAATGTAGAGCTGGTAGCCCACTGCTATGCATAACTGAATATTAAAGTTTACAAATCATCAGGCAGAGGAGGCCTGGAGAAGGAGATGCTGCGGCAGGGCAGCTGCATCTGGGCTGGCAGCAAAGATGAATCCTGCTGTCACAGGCTCTGCACCTTTACTGGGTTGGGGCCACCCAACCTGCCCACTCTTTTTCTCTCCTTAAATATTATTTGATATTAAGGATTGCTTCCTCTTCCAACCAAGACATCCTGCTTTCTGAATGTCTTAACAGCTCTATTATTTTCCCTTCACCCAGTTTTGGTTTAGACGGTGGTGTGTTAAATGAATCTCATAGGCCACCTAATTTATTTTGAAACAAATGCCGCTGTGAAAGGATGGAAAGATTCAATAAGGAAATACATAAATAATTTTCAGACACTAAGCAACCCTCTCCTCTTTCCCCCACTTTCTTCTTCTCCTTCCCTCCCTTCCTCTCCATTTGTTGTTGTTGTTGTTGTTGTTGTTGTTTGTTTACATTGTAACTGTATCTATTCTGTGAAGATCCATTGAGGCCAATTGGCTTTTCAGTGTATAAACAAATATAATCCAAAGTACTAAATGGCACTCCTCTCATTTTCAACTTGTGCTTTCAATCTTCAGCCAGAAGTAAGGCCCTATTATATTCACAATTATATGGACTTGAGAATGAGTGTACATTGCCTGCCCTTTGCTATAGAACTAAATCAGAAGGAAGTCTGTTGGTTATAAGTTTTCTATGATCGTCCCAAGTTATTTTCTTATGTATATAATAATTCATGCTACAAAGAGCTTGATGTGGTTTGGAATAATGTGATCATAAAATGGTAAAATAGCCTTGGAATTGTTCAGGGCAGTTGGATGTATGAATCACAATGGGAGACCTAGACAATGGAAAACAATCGAAAACAATTTTCTACAATTAATGTCAAAAGAATTGTCTCTCACGTCTCTCTGCAAATGAGAACAGAGAAGTAGAAGTAGTGAAAATTGTAATGTGGGATTAATCGCTTTTCTTGTTCCCAGATCTGATGGGTTTTCCTTATTGTATAGATTTCAAACACTGTAGCTATGCAGAACTCTGAGCTGATCTTATTAGTCTTAAATGGACCTGCCAAGCATATTAAAGGAAGGTTCTGACTGTCTACTGTGGACAGAATGTAGCTCAAGGAAATGTGGTCACTACCCTTAATTATATTCATAATATGTGGTGTATTTACAATAATTTAAAATAATTCAGTAAATTGAAACCATTATGAAGGTGATTTACGGTGAGTAATAAGAATGTAAAACAATGGGACACATAAGGAAGGTCAAAGGGTAGCTTTTTAGATCACACACTGGTTCCGCTCGCCAATTGTAGGCATAGGTCAGACCTCCCAAATTGGCCTTTTCCCAAGCTTGCTCTCTGGTTCTCCAAACCGAGGATGCCTTGCTTCTATCTCATTTGATGAACTGAGCCAATCTCCTCATTCAGTGACTATTTGCAAGCCAAATTTTCATAATATTTCTGAAATGAATGAAGATACATTTTGTATATCCAAGGATAGTTAAGTGTTGTCTTCTATAAAGACTATAATATAATGTGGTCCTTTCATATAAAGACTCTCAGAGGCACTCAATATATAGATTATTAACAATGCATATTGATTAGCTAGTTTTTAACTTTCGGCTTCAATTTTCAAAATCCTATTGTGAAAGTTAGTTCATATTTGTGTTAAGAAAATCTAGGATCTTAAAGATTCTTTTCTGTCAGAGAACTGTATTACGATAGCAGTTCCACTTACTCTCAGGTACTCTACAGGGTTAATAATGTGAGCTCCGGAAGGAACTTATTATACAGCATAAAGTGAATCTCTTTCATTTCTCCACCATTGTGTCATCTTCACCTAAATCATAACTTTCTACCCAGCATTTACAAGAGCAATCCACAGGCTTCCTTTATAAGGATGTATTTGAAACCACTCATTGAAGTGAGGATTTAAATAACCGGAATAAATCAATTCTGGCCTACTTAAAAAAAAAAAAAAATGAAAGCTAACAAACTGACCCACCCAGAAAGACACGAACAGATAAATTTTTGAATATTGTATTCTGTATTATCTATTATATGTATTAATACTTGGTCACATATTGGAGTGTTTTACCAAAAGATTCTCTCAGAAGCTAGCGGCGAAACAGAATAAAAGTATGACATGCGTTCCGCTTGCTGTTGCCTTTTTGTCTAAGGCAGTGGTTATTGTGAATTCCTCAGGGTAGCGAATCATTTGGTTCACTAGGACATGAAAAAGTAGAATTCATCCAAAGTTAATGGGCTGTTTGATGGTCTCTATGTGTCAAATGCGATTGTCTGGGAAAAGAGGATAGTAAAGGAATGAGTCAATTTAATTTTAAAATAACTTGATAATCTGTTAATTCTCCAAATATCCTCAAAACCAAAGAAAAAGCCAAATATGAAAGGTATAATTTATAGTAGTCAATTGGTATAAGTAGAGTCTTCTGTTTTTGTGTCATGAAAAATTTATCATTGTCACATGTGTTTAATAGACCACTCTGCATAACAATAGAAATTTCAGTTAATTTTTAAAGCCATAATCTTGTTCACTCTTAGAAGTAAAAAAAAAAAAAGAAGAAAGAAAGAAAGAAAGAAAGAAAGAAAGAAAAAATGCATTCTTATGGAATAAACATCTGATAACACATTCTGAATGTGGAGATTGAGATGTCTGAAGGCTGCCTTTTGAACTAGTACTTTTACCCCATGAAACATCTCTTGTCATCTCTTGTGTTCTTTCTGGCGCAACCAGTTCAAAAGATCTCTTTTCTTCACAGGTTACCAGCCAGTCTTGTCTGGTCAACAGGGATTCCAAGGCCTAATAGGAGTGCAGCAGCCACCTCAGAGTCAGAACGTGATGAATAACCAACAAGGAACTCCGGTGCAAAGCGTGATGGTTTCCTACCCAACCATGTCTTCTTATCAGGTGCTCATAAACAGCTTGGAAAAATGTGTTATAAAGTAGCATTTGTCAAAGTGGAAGCTGTGGCTATGTCCCTGGTTTGGGTGGCTGACTGGGTAGTGGGTTCTTGGCCCATAACTGTTGATAATTTACTTTGAATCAAGATTATAATAGAAAAGTAGAAAATGCAAAAGATATGCTTCTATCACTACTGTGGCTTTTGAATGCTCTGCTAAATTTATTTCTGTATAACTTCATATTCATGGAAGAAAATGCATTAGTCTACAGTTTTATTCATAAAGATCTTTGGAAATTTTATTGCATTTTGCTTATTGGTAGAAAGTCTTCATGACAAATTCCCATTCATTTTTGTACACATCCAAATAAACTTCATTTTTCCATAAATTTAAGTTATAAGAGATTTTAATATGGCATCTCAGATTCATTTAAAGGGCATTTTTGGAGCCTAACAACTGCATTCTCTGGACTAAACCCAAGTTAAGCATTTTTAAAGTGTTATATATCCTTTTGTGCTGTATATTATGAAATACCCCAGAAGTAGAAATAAAGAGTTAGTGAAATGGTATAATAATAAAATTTAACTGTACCAGGTGCTTCTGACCCTAAAGGACCTATCCTAGGACCCCTACCCTACTATTCTGATTCACGTTGCGTCGACTTCTACCTGTAGCTCCACAATAAGTGTTCTCTGAAGTTGCAGGTTGAGAGTACAGTGGGTGCCCAGGACAAAAGCCCTTTGTACTATGGAGGGCTGCAGGACACTTGGCGTAAAATCGGAAAGGGTGCATGGCTTTTCAAACTGAGAGAAACCCAGAGTGGAAGATCTAGACTATAGTTTCTAGAGGTCATCGAGAGAGAAGGGAAGTCAGAACTAACACCTTCTGAGCATCTGCTGCATTCCAGGCAGTGTGCCAGGCCCTATACACCATCCCTTCAATCCTTTCAATGGCACTTTGAAGCATGTATGTTATTATCACAATGGACTAGGGAATCAGAGGGGCTAAGTGACTTTCCAAATGTGAAACAACCGATAAATGGCAGAGTTGGAATTGATGACCTGTTAGGTCTAACTCAAAAGCTTGAATATTTTTCATGACACTATGTTGTTTATTGTACAGACCAAACGTAGCCTCTTCATACAGGGTTCTTGCTTGTGTCTTTTTACAGGTGCCAATGACCCAGGGTTCTCAAGGACTGCCCCAGCAGTCATATCAACAGCCAATCATGCTACCTAACCAGGCAGGTCAAGGGTCACTCCCAGCCACTGGAATGCCTGTTTACTGTAATGTCACACCGCCCACCCCTCAGAACAACCTTAGGCTGATTGGCCCACACTGCCCCTCCAGCACTGTCCCGGTGATGTCGGCTAGCTGCAGGACAAACTGTGCGAGTATGAGCAATGCCGGTTGGCAGGTCAAATTCTGAGAGCTCTGGTTGTGGTACATTTCTTCAGATATTTCTCATGGCCTTTGATGGAAGAGGAACAAGGTGGGAAAACCGGCTGAGGACTTAAGTATTCACTCAACACTCAAATGATTGCTGCTGGTATTCTGTAAAAAAATAAACAAAGACTAATATACACGTTAGCTGGTTAATGGTGCATATTTCTGTCATGTCTGCTAGGTATGCCTTTATAGCTTAGCTAGTGACATGAATTCATCAAGGTAAGATTTTCTCCTACCACTGAATACCACTGTGTAGATTATAATATCCCTAATTTGGATTAGTTTTGTACTTTGTGTTGAGTTTGTGATGCTAAAAGTATTTAAAAATTATATACTAAATCACATTGTACCAAAGCTGTAATGGAAAAGAAAAGAAGAACTGATGAATTGAAGGAATAATTTATATACATTATAGAGTTTTCTTTTTTAATGGATATATACTGTATTGTAGTGTTTAATCATAATAAAACTATTTGACCTTATGGAGGAAGGTCATGTTTTTACCACCAGTTTGGTTCACTATGTCTTCCAATGTGTGTTTTCTCATGTGTCACTGTATTCCTTTCAAACACTATCTCATGAATACTGCATGGAAAAGGTTTTTCAAGTATTTATAAGTAAACTGCCATCACATGGGGATATGCCGTAGCAAAGACTTAACCAACTGTAGTTTATTGTCATAATACTAAAGGGTCCTGAAAATAAGATGGCATCCATTTCATTCATTCATGAGGTTTGCAATTTTAAAGTACATACCTTCCTATTAATTATAGGACTATTAAAAGCATGTAGTTACACTTCACTAACTAGGAAAACCTGTGTATCTTCGTTAACAACAGTCCTATACCAAACCCTGTTCTACCTTCATGCGAGTTTCATTATGTACCCAAAAACAAGGTATCTTTGTTTAGAGGAAAATCAAAAGAGGCATAGTCTAAGCCTGCCTGTTATATCGGGTCATACAATAGAAAGTGCCACTAGTATTGACAGTGAGTCAGTAATTCAAAAGTGCTAATGTTTGTCCCAGTAATTTAAAACAAAGTAAATATAGCAACGATTTAATTGCAAAGATCTAGAACATTGGCAATTCCATTTAGATGAAGCCTATGTCTACCTAATGTCTCTTTGGGAAATAACAGAACTGTGAACTCTGAGGTTCGGCCCTTCTGGAAGATATTAATGGGGAAATAAAACCCCTTTGTTTTCACTTTAATATCATAGTACAATGACTAATAGTTTTGTATTTTATACTTTCTGCGTAAAAACCATTATTACCAGTGAGAGGAATATAAGGAGTATATCTGGATCATTCCTATTGTTTTTATATTATCACATTCTCTGTTAGATTTGCTGTTTTTATGTTGTTCAGCTGTGGGTAGAGTTAAGCGCCAGTTAAAAACTCTTATCTAGCAGATTACCATCACTTCATTCTATACTATTGTTTTCTTTTCCCTTTGAAAGGGAACTCTTAATACCTTCCCCTAATGGAAAGATGGGGTTGGCAAATATTCTCCATTTAGCTTTCTGATGTTGGGAGTGTCCCTAAATTTAAGAATCCAAATATGAGCCTGATTATTTATTTTTTCCATAAAATTCTGCAAACTTTTGACATTTTCTTTCAAGATCTTCAGAATTACTGAGCCTTCTTTTCTATGGATTTGAAATATATGGTATGTTAGTGGTAAAGACAGGGCTTTACACCTAAAGAAATTTCATTTGGCCACTTTTATCCAAATGTGTAGCAGTATTTCATGTTTAGACATTTGATATTTATTGTATAAATCCATTTGGATATTGCTGCAGACCAAATCTTCTTTCCTACTTTCACAACATATTCCTATATATCTGTCTTAGTCCATTTTTGTAGCTGTAACAGAATACCCAAAGCTAGGTAATTTACAAAAAAACAAAAAACAAAAAAAACAAAGTTTACTTGGCTCAAGGTGCTGATGGCTGGAAAGTCCAAGATTGGGCAGCTGCATCTGGTGAGAGCCTCAAGCTGCTTCAACTCATGGCATGAAGCAGAAGAGCAGGTATGTGCAACGAGACTACATGGTGAGGAAGGAAGCAAGAAAGAGAAACCAAGAAGAGTGAGAACTCAACCCCACAGAAGGGCATTAACTTGTTCATGAGGAATCTGCCCCCATGACCCAGACACTTTTCACTGGGCCCCACCTCCCAACTCTGATACATTAGGGATCAAAAAAATTTTTTTTTTTTTTCGAAATGGAGTTTCGCTGTTGTTGGAACAAGAGTGCAATGACTGCAGTGCAGTGGCATGATCTCAGATCATCGCAACCTCTGCCTCCTGAGTTCAAGCGATTCTCCTGCCTCAGCCTCCTGAGTAGCTGGAATTGCAGGCACACACCACCATGCCCGACTAATTTTTTGTATTTTTAGTAGAGACATGGTTTCTCCATGTTGGTCGGGCTGATCTCGAACTCCCGATCTCAGACGATCCGCCCACCTCAGCCTCCCAAACTGCTGGGATTACAAGCATGAGCCACCGTGCCCAACCGGGGATCAAATTTTAACGTGAGTTTTTGTGGGGGCAAAGCACATCCAAACCATAGCACCAGCATTATGGTATTCCAAATCTTAGACTATGCTTACTATTTTGTTGCATTAGAATTTTCGGGATGGCTGTGTAGAAAGATGGTTTTATTAGTGAAGCATTTTCAAAATTTATTATCAGGAGGACCCTTCATTTTTCATTTTAGTTACTAATCTTATTACAATCACATTTTTTACAATAATCTGTAAGTACAGATTATTCAGTTTATAAATATATCAACATATAGGAAAACATGGATATTTAAATATATTGATATATTGCTATAGTTATTCCTAATAATTCTCTACACCTCTATGTGAATGTAAAAGAGAACAAGAATGACTTATGCATTCATTTTTTTCAGCAAAATTTTATTGCATATTGGATTATATTATAATTATGTGGCACCACTCAAAACAAGAGTACATATAAATTTAAAGCACTTAAATTTATCTTGTAAATGTTATCATACATTTTGTTATTGTTTGATAGTTGTAACTAAATGTTGTAACTAGAACACTAAAAAATTTAAGCCATAATCATGTTATTGACTTAATATAGTTCTACAGGGTATGAGATGAGGCAGCGAAGTGTGTTATACAACATTATGGAAATGCAATTATGTAATTTATAATAAATATATTTGGAAGACTTAGAACAGAATTGTAAATCATCATAAAAAACAAGTGGAGTATATATGAACCAGAGCAGTTTTTCAGGAAAGAATTGAAGAATGAAGCAAATATAATCAAGGGAAAAAATGCTGCAGCAGAAATGGATTTTGAGATTTAATAAATGCATATTTAGACCCTGCTTCCACTTTTGCTAACAGCTAAAGTGCAAGGGGACACTTTCATACTCCCATTCTCCTATTACTTGTGTTCCACATTGTATTAGTGCATTCTTACACTGCTATAAAGAACTATCAGAGACTGGGTAATTTATAAAGAAAACAGATTTAATTGACTCATAGTTCTTCATGGCTAGGTAGGCCTCAGGAAACTTACAATCATGGCAGAAGGTGAAGAGAAAGCCAGGCATGTCTCACATGATGACAGGAGAGAGTGAGCGATGGGGAACTGTCCCACACTTTTAAACCATCAGATCTCATGAGAACTTACTCACTATCACAAGAACAGCATGGAAGAAACCAAACCCATGATCCAATCACCTCCCACCAGTTGTTTCCCCAACACATGGGGATTACAATTAGAAATGAGATTTGGGTGGGGACACAGCCTAACCGTATCACATATATACAAGTACAAACAGTGGGCAAAGCTGCAGGCCTACCTCTTACCTGTGCCTTGGCACTCACGTCACAGCAGCTTGATCATTTATAAACAAAAAGTAAAGTATTATAAATGCTTAACCCTCATGGTGGCATTAAAACAGATCTTTTGGGTTTTGAAGTCAAGTAATATCTTACATATAAAAGTAAGTATTTTGTATAAATATTAAATGAAGAAATTTTTTAAAATTCCATAGAAGACTCTTTCCTTGGAATATATATAGTTTTATGAAACAGACTGTTGCAAGGACGATCATAATTGAGAGACAGGGTAAAACAAGGTTAAACAATCTTTCTAAAAGCTATCTAATTTTTGGAAACCTTTAATATATCACTTTATATTACAAACTTGTAAGAAGAAGGCATAATTTGCATAGTTTCTCCAACATATTTGAACGCAGTATCTTTTGTTCATGGACTATATCAAAAGACCAATATTGCAAGAACCATTTGGTTTTTTTAAATTGTGTTAGAGAATCCCAAAATAAGAGCACGAATAGATCTCTTTTAACTCTGTAGAAACAGTGTTCTGCATCAAAATGTAATATCGTAACCCTACTTCCAATTATGACATATTTTGGTAACTGCTGTAGTGTGAACTGTTGAACTGTTTCTTCTGTGAATATGTGAATCTGGAAGGTCATGCCATAATGTCAGACTTTCTGGATCTTTATTTTTAATTCTTAATGTTGAAGGGTTTGATATCTATATTTATACTCCTATAATTATTATAGTCATATAGACATACTTGTCTCTACTGATCCTTTACACCTTTATGTGATTGTAAAAGAGAACAAGAGTGATTACACATTCATTTATTCAGCAAGATTTTGTTTCACACTTACTAATTTCAAGACCTCGAGCCACAGTCTATGGAGCTCCTACCTTTAAGAAGATTATGAATTTTTGAAAGACATTATATAAGTATGAAAGTAAATAAAAATATACAAAATTAACTATAGAACTCATGTGAAAAATGATGTATAAAGGTCTTAGAGAAAGAAACGATGGCTTCTGGCTGTGGTTTTATGAAGCTTTTGTCTTGGATTCTATTGGATAAATTTCTAGATGAAATGTGAACACAGAGGTAGGATGGGTGGGTTATAACCCCAACCAAGATAAATGCCTACATGGAAAAGAAAGAAACATGGGAAAGTATGCAGTATAATTTAGGTTGCTTAGAGTAGGAAGTGAACAGCTAGAACAAAAAAAGGAGGAGTACAGGGAAATTCATAATGGACCTGTTTGGCATGACTTTGAATGCCAGGCACAGAGTTAACAGGCACCCATCGACTCCTGCAGATTTTTTATTGCAAGGTGATATGACCTCAGCATGGTTTATAAAGAGGTATAGGTCTCAAAAAGAGGATAGATTACTCTTCGTTCAGAAAGTGGAGATGAATGCAACAATAATTAAAATTTGCCACTGAGCTACAGCTATCATTAGCATGGTTGGGAAAATTCAAAAATGATTTCTAGCTCTCAATTCTTAACACTGAGCAATTCTGCTGGATGCACAGCAATGCTTGAGAGATATATGTCTCATTTTTCCCTCTTGGACATAACCTTCTGCATCAGGGCACATAAGTGCCCTGTCTTAAGCTGCATCACAAGGCACAGTCACTATAATCTGTCAGGGAAAATCAAATAGAGACTAAGCTGGAATTGGAAGCA